CTATTTTCATATGAACATTTTGAAAAGTCTAATTTATTTTTCAAAAGCTGTTATATGACACAGTGGCTCCATATCTCTATAAATGTTTCTACGTGCGTGTGCGTGTGCGTGTGCGTGTGCGTGTGTGTGTCTCAGGTTGTGGAGTCTGGTGGATCACGCCCTCATCGCTCGCTGCAACATGGAGGAGGCGGTGCGGAGCGTGGCCTTCAGCGTGGACGGATACCAGCTGGCTCTGGGCATGAAGGACGGATCCTTCACTGTGCTGAGAGTCAGGTAGCACACACACACACACACACACACACACACACACACACACACACACACACACACACACACACACACTCACTCGTTCACTCTCAACACACACACACACACACACACACACACACACNAGGATTTTTCTCACACTGTCTGTAACCAACTGCGAGGGTGAGAGGTCCTTTTCACAGCTTAAACGCATCAATGAACTTAGGACAACCATGGCTCAGAAGAGACTTTCAGCCCTTTCTTTGATGGCCATCGAGTCTGATCTTGTGAGGGATCTGGATTTTGATGACCTGATCACAGACTTTTCAAAGAGAAAGTCAAGTTAAGATCCACTGTCTCTCATACACACTCATTCACTCTCTCTCACACACACACACACACACACACACACACACACACACACACACACACACACACACACACACACACACACACACACACACACACACACACACACACACACACACACACACACACACACACACACACACACACACACACACACACACACACACACACACACACACACACACACACACACACACACACACACACACACACACACACACACACACACACACGAGAAAAGCTCTGCTAACTCCCCTTGTGCTCTGGAAACCTCATCCTCAGAAACGTAATTCAAATGAGTTTATTAAATCATGTTGTGGTAACACTTTATATACACAAATGTCACTAATTGCTCATTAGAGTTTGTAGAGTACTGGTCCATCATGTTCAATATGTAAATGTAAAAAAAGGTATCTATTAAATGTAGTAGAAAGTATGATATTTACCTCTGAGGTTTACTGGAGTGGAAGTATAAATTAACATGAAATGGTGCTTAAGTACGTGATTAAATGTTCTTCATTCTACCACTGCTGATAGATTAGTTGTACTGAGCCATTAACAGAGTGTTGTTGTTTGTTTGTTTGTTTGTTTGTTTAGGGACATGACGGAGGTGGTCCACATCAAGGACAGGAAGGAGGTGATCCATGAGATTAAGTTTTCTCCGGACGGAGCGTACATCGCTGTCGGCTCCAACGACGGATTAGTGGACATCTACGCTGTCGCCCAGAGATACAAGAAGGTAAGGAAGGAGGTTATTACCAAAACATAAGGAAGAATTTATTAAAAGTATTCATCATCGTATTTTCAGTGCTATCTATAAATCTACAGGGTGTTGGTGTGAGATGCAGAGTTTTGGAGATATTGTCAGTAGAGTTTGCACATATATGTGTAAAAAACAAATTCTATATGGCCTGCGCTCCAAAGACTTTATTCAGATGCTGGTTCCTTAAGTAAGAACAGATCTGGGTAAAAAAGCTTTTAAAGGTCCCATGTCATGGCCACACTTTTTACCTGGTTAAATAAAGGATAGATAGAGTTGTCTGACTTTTTTTTAA